CAACACCGTTTCCTCTTGCGAGGGATGTTTGAGTGATTTGAACCTTTTAAAAACCTTTATTCTACATTCAACACCATCATTTGTTAAGACATCAGAAATGTTGAAACAAAATGTTTATTTTGTAGTGATTTTATAACGTTTTTATGTTATAATTTTCGAATAAATAATTATATATATATATGTGTGTGTGTATACACATATATAACATAATATATATATATATATATATATATATATATATATATATATATATATATATATATATATATATATATATATATATACACACACATCAACAGGGCTGGCGACTAGTACCCGCGAATACCCTGATGTGCGGGGGTGGTGGATGTCAAGCCTGATTGTGGCCCTGAACAATGCTTTATGATGCTCACTATAATCTGTTTTTTTATTCCAACATCTATATACGTTACAAATTGAATTAAGTGCAGCTGTTAAAAGTTGACAAATGTTATTCTTGAGTCTTTTCTTTCGTTCAAATCTGTGAATTTATTTTGTTTATGCTAAGTCTGGAAAAAGCACTTTATAAAATTCACTATTTTTTTATGCATAATGTGTTAAAATTATTCAACTTTTTAAGAAGAATATCTCAAGTTGATGTTTAAAATTAATGCAAAACATTGTTGATTTATCTAAAATAGAATGATGTTATGACATGTCTCTAATTTGTATTTAGATACATTGTATTTAGTTTCAATTTTTCCGGTTGAATTGTTCGCCTATATTTCATATGATCCATTATTAAGTTACAATAAAAGAAAAGTGTATTTTATATGAATGCTAACTTATGAAACTTGAGATGTATTAGTGTGTAGGGCTGTATCATTGATTTGGAGGTAGAGACAAGACTCTTGCACCGTTTCTATGCACTCACATACAGGAACACATAAGCATGTGTCTAAATAAACGCCCTATCATAAGAATATCACAATATATGAATAAAACAATATAATAACAAGTAATATAACTATTTTAACGCAATATTATTTCGTATAATTAATGTAATAAGTTTACTATTAATTCTGTAAGGTACTGTGTGATAGAAAAAAGAAAACGTTAATATAAATTTAAATATGTTTCTTTAAGTGTGTGTTTATAATACATTCATGTTTGCTGAAAAGTGCAATCACATACATACATATTTTAAATCGCATATAAGTAAATGTATATATACGTTGTTTGCACATATATTCAGGTAAATATCCGTGTGTGAGTATGTGCATATGTGTTTTCTTTTTCTATTTGTTTTTGATTGGTTAATTTTGGGTTTATTTTCATTCGTTGTGCGATTATTCATTTATTTATTTGTATGGAGAAAAAATTAAGAGGGTCGGAAAAAATTTCATTCAGTTGAATGGTTTTAATTAAATGGTGGAAACATATCATAATCTCACACGCCACAACCAATGTCCATCCCGCTCGGAAACGATGCCATTACCATTGTCGTGTCCTGGTCGAGTGTTTTTTGGGTTTTTTTTGTTTGTTTGTTTTTTTGTTTGTTTTTCTTCTTTTTTTTTTTTTTTTTTTTCTTTTTTATTTATTTATTTTTTGCGTATTTGTTCGAGATAAGCTTGATTGGAAGAGAGATGAATGAATCTTTAGGGCTCTCTGGTGATCCCCTATCACGACTTTTGACTGACTTCATGGCCTCTTGAATAATTCATAAGATTTAGAAGAGTAGGAGGAGCTTAAAAAAGATGACATGCAATAAGAAAGAAAGAAAGAAAGAAAGAAAGAAAGAAAGAAAGAAAGAAAGAAAGAAAGAAAGAAAGTAATTTTATGCTGCTGAAAAGATAAGTAAGTTTAGAAAAGGAAAGCCAACATGATGTTTGTAATGTAAAAACTAATAAAAAGAAAGAAGTAAAAAGTAAAAGAAAGAAAGAATGAAAAAAAAAGAAAGAAAGAAAGAAAAAGAAAGAAAGAAAGAAAGGTATATGCCATCATAAAGAGAACTAATTTTGGAAAAGGAAAGACAAAAAGATGTTTGTAATGTAAAAAATGTTACCTTAAATATAAATAAATTGGAAAAAGAAATGATAAAAAAGATGTTTATAATATCGAAAAGAAAGGAAGAAAACTAAGAATGAAGATGAAAAACTTGTGAAAACTGATAAAATGGTAGAAAGAAAATTAAAAAAGGAAGCAATTAAAAGATTAAAAATAGAGAAATGAAGCGCGAATGAATAAAACAAACAACGAAGCGATCACCAATTCCAATCTACTCGACATGTTTATGGCTGAAGCACAAATAATTACTTTTTTTCCTACATTTCTTGAATATGCACAGCGCTCGAACAGAGCATTTGGATATTTGTTTGCGCTTCATGAGAGATAAATGCGTATTCGAATAGTTTGTGTGTATTTATTAATGTTAGGCCTATCCAAATACGAGATTTGTCTAGTCTGGTACATGACATCAAAGCGAGTAGAAGTAAATTAAATTGCTACGACGGTGACTACCTCAAAAATCAACAAATTTAAATCTCTTCCATGTTGCTTTGGCCCAAATGTAAATTATTGTGAAACTTGAAACTATCTCAACCACCAGGTAACACAGGATAAGTCTATATATGAAAACATAGCTCACATCTAAGCTTTGTTTCAGTCTAAACTGAATAAAGCTAATAACAGTATTTGATTATTTTATAACAAGTTTTGTCACTGATTTGAGAATTCTAACTGGTCAGTTGAGAAATCCTTTTTCTGTGATGCGTTTCTTCAGGACGTGGGAGATTACAGCTCTTTACAAATTCTTTTAAATTTTAGGCAATATTTGCTTCATTACTATCTCTCTTATTTTGCTAATACACAAGCTAGTTAAATAGGTGTCTCACTTTTTCCTTTTTTCTCTCTTGCATTCAAAATGCTCTGTAAGTGATAAATTCTTCAAAACCTCGTAATTCATTATGTATCCAAGAAATTCTAATTGTCTCTATCTAATTCTCACATTTTTTTTTCATTTTCTCACTTTCCTTAAAAATGTTACGTTGCATATATTTTGTCCATACTATTCTCAGCATCCTTCTGTAGAGCCATAACTCTCTTGCACTTCATCTCCTCTTCATCTACCAGGAAAATTACAGCATTTACTACCATTAAAGAGAACTGACATTACATAGCAGTCCAGCATTCTTTTCTTTCTTTCTAATTACATTTTATTTTCATATGTTAATACTTTCATTTATTTCAGAAAGACATCTTTCTCTTTTCCAATGCAATTTCGAACTTCTGTGTTAACACAGATAGTAAAATTTGCTTTTGACATTTATGATTTGTAGCTTACATCTAGAGCTATCCCTCTGACTGAGAAGAATATAAATAGCCTTGGGATAAGTTTGAATCGATCTCACTCTCCAACAGCTATCGATTAAATCGCAGGGAAGACTGGGCTCTCAAGCCGTAATTTAACAACTCGTCTAGGAGAAGAACAATACTGAATTCAAAAGCGTAACAATGGTCCATGATACCCGATCCATAGCAAGGAAGATGATATGAAGCAATATATATATATATATATATATATATATATATATATGTGTGTGTGTGTGTGTGTGTGTGTGTGTATTGTGTGTATTTAGGCAGCATTTTTTCATTCATACATGTTTCATTAAATAATATAGACAAGTGTTTACTTTTAAACGAAGAAAGAAAGTGGTTATCGTTGCTAGGAAATCATCCATGTAAACAATAACAGACTATCTGCACTGTCTTGTCCGTATATTGCTTAATATATTGTACAGTAATTGACATCTTTCATAGTGGCTTATGTAAGCCGAAAGCTTAGATTGGATAAAAAAATATGGATCAATATTGTGATTTTCTTTCTTCGTTTAATGATAATGTTATTAAGCTTATCAGGCGTTATGAAAAGAATTTACATAAAATAAATAGACAACACTTGTCTATATCATTTAATGAAACATGTATGAATATATATATATATATATATATAAAATTTCTCAGAGTTAATCTGTAGAAAAAAACTTTTACATTTTAGATATATATATATATATATATATATATATATATATATATATATATATATATATATATATATATATATATATATATATATATATATAGTGTGTCTAGAGTATAATGATAGCTTGAGGGGACCACCCCCTCTTTCGACTTGTTTTAATTCAGAATGTGCTACTTCTTAAACTGTTTGTTACCCAAATAAGACCCGAGTCAGCTTTGCTATTTAACCCATAGTTAGGGGAAGATGGATTCATGCCTTTTCCAAAGGCATTCGCGTGAACGAAGGAGGAATTTTTACTCGTCTCGTCGATTTCATTTTTCGTACCGATAACCGTTACGCTACCCGAACATCCTTATAATTACCGAGAGTATTAATAACAGTTTGCGAAAGACCAGAGAGATAAATTTTATTTATTTATTTTTTTGTCATACTTTGATTTTTTTTAGGTACAATTTAACGTAGATATAGATCTAAAGAATAAAAAGGACTTGCAATCCTATTTTTTTTTTAATTTCCTTAATTTAATGACATCTTATGTTGTATTATTTAATTTCAAATATGAATCATATAGAACTGAAATATAGGTGAACTAGAAATATAGGTTGAAATTAGTAGACTAGAGTCTAAAATGTCAGTCATAGGTCTAGTTACACTTGAACCCAAAAAGATAGATATAGATTAGTTTTATATCCGAATCTGCGCGCTTAAAATGGACTCATTTAGGTTGATGTGGTCTTAATATTCTCCACTATCCTAAGCTACTCCGAGAAGGTAGTTATTCCCTCTAAAAAAGCAAAAAATCATTTTTTCTGTTTCGGTGAAAAATAAATTTTAGATCTGCATATCAGCAACACCAATAATTGAACCTCTATCTACTATTTTTTCAAATTTTGTTTATTTATAAGCAATTCAAGTGATATAATAATGTATTTGTTCTTGTCTGCTGATCGCTTAGCAGAATAACGAAGAATTTTTGAGTGCTGTTGGATTTGCTAGAGTTACTACTCTGTCTTTAATTTCTAGAAACATTGAGATCTTTAGGTTTTTGCATAGTTAGGTGATTGTCTTTTTTGTATTTCTCTTCGTGTTTTCTTTCATTCTTTGTCTGATTTGGTTATTTTTTTTTCTTGGTTTCATTTTCATTTCATTTCCATTTTCATGATTTTTACTTTGACACGCTTATTGTTGGTAGTGCTGTTCTTTGAAACTTTACGAATAGCTCAATATGTTTCCATTATATTAATATGCACACACACACACACACACACACACACACACACACACACACACACACACACACACACATATATATATATATATATATATATATATATATATATATATATATATATATATATATATATATAAGGTAATAAATCCAATACAAATAGATCCTAGAAATATAACATTAAAAGTGACACAAAAAAGATCTCAATATATTTATTGTTACAGTGTAAAAAATTAATACACAATAAAATCCTAAATCACCTCATATGGAGAATATGCTTATTTCGACAGACGAAAATATAATTCGTCTGTCTTATGAACCCCAGTACACACACACACACACACACACACACACACACATATATATATATATATATATATATATATATATATATATATATATATATATATAACACAATTTACTGAATTAAACCTTTAATAAGCAGTGTAATTTGTTAGAATATAATTTTCTCAAAATGTAAGCATTTTGCCTTGATGTTTATTAATTTATCATTAACATTTATTGAAATAAAAAAAGGTTGTGATTGTGTGTGTAGGGTGGATATGTGTTTTGCGGAGTGATTTCATCGGAAAGTTTTTTGTATGTGCACACGCGTGTGTCCAGATGGCATAGATAAAAAGAATAAACGAGATCGATTGAACTATAACTTGGAGAACACATGGTGTTTTTTCTTGTTTCGTTTTTTAATCCCAGGAGTAAGACAGACATATTGTAATTGCGATAAATTATTAATGAAAAGAAAGAATATTATTTCGTTTTGGGCTTGATGACTAACATTTTACACAGCAATTTCAATGCCGAGTTACTTGCCCTTCGATCACCCGTTAGAAAACTTATATTTTCTACCCTGTATAAGAGGCGTCATATTTTAATCAATGTTATTTCAGAAATTATGAATCAAATTTCCCATAGTACCTTTGTGTTAAATTATTAGTATTATAGTATATATAACTAATAAAATTGACTTTAAATTATTTAATATTTTTTCTCGATGATAACCAGTCTAAATACATACAAATAACAAAGTAATTAAAATGATTGCTATTATTTACAGTCGGATTGCTGTATTCAGTTTTGTTGTTACTATTACATTTTGGTCGTTTTGCGATCAGGCCTTCCTCAAATGTCTATCGATGTGGGTAACCCTCAAGAAATATCTAACTGCACCCTTTGTTCAGTCTGCGAATATCTTGGTCAGCCTATGAAAAGATCTTAGGCTGACCAAGATACTCTCGTGGTATGTGATCAAATAAGGTTGAGTTTTCAACATAGTCCCCCTTGCTGTCCACACACTTCTTCTATCAGTGTTGCAGAGCTTGTATCCCACTGATGAAGAAGATTTCATCCTGTTGATTAAAACAGTTATCAACAGCAAATATGACGTCATCAACACTGCGATAATGATTCTCAGTCAAGTATTATTCCTGTTGGGGAACAGATGATAGTCAGATGAGGTCAAATTAGGAGAATAGGGAGGGTGATCAATTAATCCAAAATCACAGTCCCGCATAGACACCATTGAAAACAAGGACTTGTATACTGGAATATTGTCCTGATGAAACAAGACACTTTTCATCAGTTTTCCTGGACGTTTGGTCTTGATAGCCTATCGTAACTGCGTTAGAAAGTTGGTATAATATTCTCTATTGATGGTGTAGCTCCTTTGAAGATAGATAAATAAACACAATAACTTTTTCGCCCCAAAAAACTGCGGCCATCACCTTCCCTGCAGATGAAATAACCTTAGCTTTCTTTGGAGCTGCTGACGAATAGACAATCCACTATATGGGTTATCTCTTTGTCTCTGGTTGAAAGTAATGAACACCACACTCATCTTGAGTTAGGAAACGTTCAAGGAAACAAACTGGATCTACCTCAAACAATGTTTGACTATATGTGATCAATCTGGTGTGCTTTTAATCAGGTGTCAGTTGACGGGGCAGAAACCTTCGTCATACGAAGTTCATTGTGCAGAATATTCCCTGTCCGAGGGCACATAATGAGGAAAGGTGGCTTGGAAGATTTGACACTCAAAAGACATATTGAAGGCAAGAGAGACAGAAGAAAACCCT